TGGGGCGCGACATGGGGCCGTCAGCCGGGGCCGTCCTGGAAATCAGCCTACCAGAACCTGGATCTTAACAACATGCAAATGTCTGAGCTCATCGGCATGCATGGCGAGGAAATCAACGTTCTGGAAGATGCCGATTGGGATGCACAGACTTTTGAGAAGAGGCTTCGGGAAGAACTTGACAAGATCAAGGACGAGCTTTAGTACTTTGAAGATTCAAATCATGTAATAATTGAGACGCTAATGCTTATTGAGCCGTAAATGCTTGTTGAAAGTAAATGTGTTGATGCCCCAAATGCTTATCTCAGTTCTTGGAGAACCTTTGGGGGATCGGACGCCGGGACACGAGCAGGTGAACCGGCTCCCGTCCCCACTGCCAGCCTCTCTTGGGTCTCGTCTGCATCGGCGTAACTTCGCGCTTGTAGATGCCTCTCTTGATTGGCGAACGAGCCGTACCGCATGTCGCAAAGAATGAGTCGCCGAATGCCTGGCAGTCTGTGTCGGTGAAGTTTTGGGAAAGGTTGGTGCAGAGCTGGCTGTTGCTGCTGAGGATGCCGCCCTTTTGACCGCATAGCTTTTGGCCGCCTGTTTGTACCACGGAGTTGGTGATGTGTGTCCTGCAGCGGCATTGAATATCGCCCTGCTGTGCTTGTACCATGACGAACCTATTGATGTTAGCTGGGGATCGACGGGCCTCAAGGGTTTGGCGGGAGATCTTACATGATCGCCATCATGATGTAGGAAATAATGTTCTTCATCTTGTTAAAGTCGTTCGAGTTGAATGCAGTACTAGAGTGACTCGATTGTTTGGCTGCGGTCAAGAAAACTCTGTGTATCGTGAGTACGTTGGCACTGGTGGTGATAAGCCTTTATGTACGAAGATCAAACTCCCGAGGCCACCTTGGCGCACGCGAACGACAACTCATGGCAACCTCAACATGCAACGAACCACTGTAGCAACCACACAGCGTAATGTGGGCGGGCTATCCGTGACTCGCGGCCTTCCACGAATTCTCCAGCTGTCAAGCGTCTGATGTTGGCCTCCTTGTGGCAGTAGCGCCTGACGGAAATGCCGATGGGGGATCTATCTGTGTGCTTGTCGTCTCATCTTTTTGGCCGCGCCTCATCAACCTGCCAGCCGCAGCCCGCAGGTAAGGGTTGATGAAGGGGGCTTGCAGGCCTGCAGCTAATTCTAGAAAAAGGGAAGGGGAAATTAGGGAAGCATAACTTTTTCCCAAACGATCGTCCACGTTCAGATGACGTGTGTTCGTCAATGTCAGACGGAGCCGTTGGTGTTCCAGATCCTTGCGCGTGTTTCATGATAAGGGGGCCACCATGGCTGCGCGCAACGCGTTCGCCCGTCGCAACTTGCCCGCTGACGAATTCTTAAACAGGAGCAGAAGAAATTACTTCAGCTCTCACGAGAAAAAAACACCCGTTAGTGAGGACTATGAGCCGACGGGCACCTCCTCTTCGGCTCGATGCATGCTGTTCATCGGCCGAGAAGACGCGTCAAGGGGATCATGGGGTTTCATCATCGAGATCAACAAATCGCATACCTGATTTTGAGCGATGAATGTCAGTTAGGGGAGCTGTCATTCTCGGGATGCATCAGACTGATCTCACGTCGAGACAATCCAAGTGGCCCTTTCAAAACCAGTAATAGCTATCAGAACAAAAGCTAGATGGAGGTTCTGCAATTAGTTGAATCATAGCCGCACATCACCCTTTTTGCGAGAAGTAGTCAAAGCCCATCATGAAACACCTAGCTAACTTTGAGCGATCAATTACTCCTCGAAGCACTAAGGTTTCCAGGATTACTGATAAGGTCTCCAAGACTAAGTGATTACAACATAAGCATATTATGAGTTCTCAATGGATGAAAGAAAAAGTAAGAACGCCTCGTCCAGAAACTCTGGAGAACTATCATGGAATGATGATTACTAGATACATTATTCTGGAGTGTCATCATTCTCATACAAGTGGGAGTATGAGTAAAATGAAAATCACAGTTTCGGGGGTGTGGAGATAGTTCTTTGTTGTAACGCATTTCTAGTCTTGGGGGCACCTGCGAAAGGCACATATCATAGTCTCAAGAAGCGATCTGATCAGTTACTGGCCATGGCTAAGATCTATAGTTTACCTAACCTCTTGTCCTTGATAATGTTGAATACCACGACTTGTACTAATTGATCATGGGAGTGCTTGCTTGTTCAGAATATGAACATTTGACACTTTCCAGCATGGAAACCACGCAATTCATTGCACTTGCGTACATGTTCAACATGACTGTCACTTGTGGTACCTTAACTTAACCTGAGAAGCTGCATTCAAGGCGTTCGTCTCAGCGTAGACTTGAGTTGACACTCGCAAGCTGTTATGATCTCTGTAGTTGAAGCTCGGAAACAGCTCAAAGGCTTGCATATGGTCTAGGATATACCTACCCATCACCACGCCGTTGTGGTGCAGGGTTCAACTACCTAAAACCTTTAAGGATTTAGCCTTGAAAAGGGCCGAACCAGCCCTGCAACTAAATGGAGTGGTGATGGAATCTGCGCCGGCAGACGACTAGTCCATATCACGGCACAAAAGTAACATGATCCGTGTAGACATTGTTCGCCTCTTGTCAAGTGCGTTGACTTCAAAGTCGACTGATCCGTTTGTCTAAGTTCTGGCACAAAGTCTAGCAATTTACCCTCGCTTTACCTATTAGTAAGTGACAACACATGGGACATTGGCTAGAATGACAACACGAGAGAGTGTCCTGTAGATGTACACTTTCATTGAGCCAGTGAGAGCGACGTTAATCGAAAATCTGCTTTTCCTAACTGACAGAGGTGAGAAACCTGGATTTGTGAAGCTTTTATTTCCAAACTAAGGTACGAAGCTTATGATAAACGTACACCAGCTTAGCGTCTCTCGTACTACCATACCATAAAGACACATGAATTCTTGTATAAAATTCAAAGTCAAAGGAGCGATTGAAAGCTAGAGTTCTCAAGGCTTTGATCTCGAGGTACATTCTAGAACTGGACTCAATCATATGCAATAATGGCCATAACTTTCCACTAGATGACTCCTATACCCGTAGTTGCGTCTCTTTGGCGAATACTTCCGATAATCTCAACCATATATCCATGATAGACTTCCATTGTATGCGGTATTTTAAACCATGCGGGAGTAATAAATAATCGGCTAGGGCCTGATGTGTATCAAACACGTGCGGATCCATGCAATCGCACGTATCACACTCCTGCTGGCAATAGGGGCGAGACGAAGGTCTAACATCACGGAGAGTATGAACATATTGCAGAAGCGAATCTTTCCCATAGGCTACACACTCTAAGAGCTCAGAGTAGACGTTAAATAACAATCGCTGCGTTGAAGTTGACTCGCCTGGCGCAGTCTAGTTGCGATGGAAAATCGAGTTGTCATTGTTCAGCTCTAGCTAAATCATCGTCAAATTTGAATCCAACCTTTCAAAAGAGGAGTACACTGGGGAAGGGCTCCCGGGTTGCCCTCATAGAATATGATCGCTGCCTGCTACGTAGATGTGGCCCGTCAGGCTGGAGTAAAAAGAAGCACCAAGCCTGTCTACTTTATTTTGCGTTGCAGATGGGAGCGCAAAGAGTGTCTAGAGAACGAGTGATACGTCAGTATTTCGTTCATTTTTCGAAAAATAGAGTCGCAAATGGCTTACTGCACTCAGCCTCGCTGGGCCTAGGACATGTTCGCTGGCAGTCCTCGCAAGCACCCGCCATAGCGGATGCAGCGTATGTAGCTAGAATAGCGAAAACGATCTGGAAACGCATCGTGGTAGATTAGATTGAAACGGTCAACGTTCTCGGTAAAGAGTACAGAAGTAATATATAGTTGTGGTGTTTGGCTCTGATGATGGGATAGAAAGACGAGATGTTGTGAGTAGTTCGAGGAGGTCAGACTGCATTTATGCCTGTAACAGTTCATTTTACGGAATCAAAAGGCAACCAACAAATGCTGACGAGTCAGGTAATAAGAATCCTCAGGTTTGAGCTCGTTTGATACTCGCGGTCGCCAACCACTTGGCAAAGACTTCCATACTTTGTACACAGTGGTGCATCTGACATTCTGTTGAATGAGCCACACATGCTTCATATCTACTCATCTTTCTATATACAGTGCCGCCGCTGCTCGGAACTGGAGACTTTTCCTCGCAACTCTCGTAGGAGGGGGGCAGGCTTACGTAGAATCTCTCGATGTCATAAGATGCAGGAACAGCTCATAAGTATACATCAAATCGGATCACTCAAACCTTTGACAGCGCTCGCATGGGCAAAATGTTATGGTACGAATTATTGTCACGGTGCATCGACTGTGTTCATTCCATGGCAACTTTCAGACTTCAACTCAGCATTACTGTGGCTTCTACGGCGATCCGGAGAAGTCCGCCGGTAAAGACGGGCAGTTTTTCTCTTCCAAAACCACGCTTGGCATGGAGATTCCCTGTCACCTGATGTAAGGACCCATCAGCTTCCCCAAGAGTATCACTTGAACTTAGCCGTCCGAAACCATTTCTTGTAACAAGGACAGAACTCTAACCTTTAGTTCAGATCCAGATGTGGGCGGCTACGAACACTGTCAGATTCTACGAGGCGCGTCAATCTCAACGCGATTGCGAGGGCAAGTCTCATCGCCATTCTTGCAGGTGCAAGGGTTTCCACGCTTGTAAACTTGGGTTGGTCAAGAAGTCGCCGGCTGAGTATCTATGCCTTGTTACTTGACGTCAGAGCTTTCACACGTGCACGGATGCATGCATGTAGTGCCCGACCGTGGAAAGCAACATAGCCGGGAGCTCTATTCCATTATATAGATTTCAGTACTCAGATCTGTATAGGGTATTCCCACGTCTGCTTTGTTTGGTGGTCCAAAGTTGTCCAATGCCCCCAAGGCGAAGACCTGGCTTCGTTTTCCGCCAACTCGCTAATTTTGGTACATGTAGCATTCACACACCCACTGGCCCGCGCTTAGCCGTATCCCATTGACATATCGAAAGCACTTGACTCTCCAAAGGCAACATCGCCATCGTCCCAAAGAAGACTCAGCATCAAGTCTTCCCCGCCAGATGCGGTTGGGTCAAAAGACAAAAGGTCTTGCCGATCACCTAAGTCTACAATAGCATCACCTGCTCTTTCAGATCGTTCTGGAATTCTGCCGTGCTCGATGCTTTCGCGCAGCTGCGACGTCTCTCCCTGTCTATGAGTCTCAGGACTCTCCGCTAAATTGAATGATAAAAGTCTTTCAACGTATGGGGCACCCGCATGGTGTTGCTCGACCGGCGAATTGGTCTTGAAGGAGTCGATGGCTTGTGAAAAACTTGTGAGAAGCCGGTGATATTGTGCTGCTTGGGGACTCAAATGACCCAGAAAGTCCAGAACACGTAGCGCGCTATGGAAAGACTTTCCACGGTTTTGGGGTACGTCAGGGGCGAGTAGTGAGAAGCCAAGGACAAGACCGGCGGCAAATAACCAAGCCCTGAACCAAACATTAGTACCACGCATATTTGGACAAGATCAAAAGGGCTTACTTCAGTATGCACATGTTGCCCATGATTGTGCGCGAGTCCAGAGCGTCAGCACACATCTCGGCCATGAACACAGCAGCATCCACACAGGCATCAGATAGTTCAGCAACACTCTTCTCATCTTCTCCCCCTCCTTCATCATCGTGGTCGTCCATGAGTGACGTGTCTTTGTTGATTCGCGGCATGATATGGTGGATTAAAAACTCGCGAGTTGTCAGGATAATGCCAAAGTAGTAGGTACATGCGACGTGGATATTTCCAATAGCTATCTCTCGGTTTTGAGAATGATGAGATTGGGCGGTTCCTCTCTTTGGACGTTGGCGCAAAGCTGTTGGCAGGTCCTTACTCCAATGTCTAATTTCATCGAGGAATTGTTGTGCTCTGATCATGCCCAACTCAGATTCTTCGGTTAGAGTGTCGACGATCCTGTTCAGAATTGTGGCAAATGTGCATGCCGCGTCTACTGACAGATTTCGATGTCGGTTCTCATGAAGCTTTGCGCTTCGTCTCAGTCGGCAAGGTGCTACACTTGTTGGTCTTCCGAGGATTGAGCTACACACAACGTCAAAAAGTCGTATGCTCTTATCGACCCGAGACCTTGGTGGTACGTCAGCTTCTAATTTGATTCTTTGTATGGATGAAAGGGAAGTTAAGAGACATGAAGGGAATAATATCGTACCTCAGACTTCGCTCGCTCTCCGAAAGAGACTGAAACTGCTCTGCCATGTGCAAGCCCATAACCGACGCCGCCTTTGTGGCAACCCCAAGGTACATAAACGCAGAGTTGCGACGACAAGCGCCAAACATATAGAAGGCCATTAACACAAAGCCGCGAGCGGTGTTCAGTGTGGGATCGCTCAACATTCCTTCGAACGACAGCTTACGTGCTTCTGAGAAGTAACGAAAGGCTTTGGGTGCATCTCCTATCTGACCACGACATTGGGCACCAATCGCAACCATCATGTAGAGGCACAGAAGCCTCCCTGAATTGAAAGTAGAGTTGGACCTTTGAGACTCCGTACACGGTTCCTGGGCCAGAATGATAAGTTCTTCGATATCTGATTCATCGAACAAATCAAGGAGTCCACTAGACTGCGGCTTCGTCAACTCCACACTCAGTTAAACAAGTCATGAGAGCTTCCACTCACGGCGTCAAGGTAGCGTTGAACCAGGGTTTTTCTCTCAGCGTTTTCAATGTCATCTGAGAAGTCATCGGTCTGCTGCACAGGAACTTGTGCCTCGAACATGCGGTGACATCCCTGACTAATCGTGAACCCTGGACCAAGGATACGCAAGCTTCCTCGCAGGTATTGTAAGAACGCAATGGCTGAGGCATTTCCGACGAATACTTTGGATTTCGAACTGTTAGCTCAGTGTGGAACGCCTAAGGACGCCTCAATATCGTCGCTGAAGCGGCGCTCGATATGGAAATCGTACCTTTTTCTCCACTACAGGTGTACATCATCACCGGGCGCGGACCAGGCGGCGTAACCGTCTTGCCGGACGTTGACGAGGCTGCGGTCTCGTTCTCATCTTGCAAAGATGATTCTTGCCGTTGATAGAGTAAGGGGGACACCTGATCACGCTGCCGAGTCCCTGAAGCGGCCGAAGATTGATTCGGCGGTGCGCGACGAGCCCTGACATGTTGAGAATAGGTGCAGGACGAGCCTACCCCGCGTTTGACGCATGGTCGACATGGCTGGGCTGCGTCGCATCGCTTCTTGGTCGCTCGGCACGCCGTGCAGGCCCTGGTGGACCTTTTTCGGTCTTCGGGGCGTACCGGCGGCCGGGGCATGGCGTGGAGTTTGTGTAGTGCGGTGCCTTGTATACGGCGGCCGAAAGTTGCGGGTCTACCGAAGAGGCGGCACTGAATGCAGGTTGCGGGCCGACGATGCAAGGTGCAATTGCCGCCAATTCACATCCGATGGACATGGAGCGATTTCATCGGGTTGTAAATCAGCATGTTTCGATCATGCTACGAAAGGTCGCACTGCTTCTCAAACCCACGAGGCCCCGTCATTGAGTAAGCAGATAAGCAACGTAAACATCATTGGAGTTGAGATAGGCTTATCAAAGTAATTCCCCAGATTGTCAATTACAATCAGCGGCCAATTGGTAGGGCAAAGTGAGACCCCATGAATGTGAGCGGTGCTCGGCCCGCACACTTATCCTTGAGCAACACGTAAGTCCGTAGGTCCGTAAGTCCGAGATCTACTTCTGTACGGAAGTTCCGCCTTCACTAACCAATCGAATGCTCTATCTAGTCAGCAGTTAGAATAGAAACTCGGAATACTGTCATGATATGAGCACTAGCTTATAATGACTCGGCCGGAGCTCATCCCGTGCCGTGTGGTGCACTTAGTATGAGTTGCTATCTTAATGTAAAGTGTCTCATGCTATAAGTTCTCAAACTTTCCCAGTCCACCGAAAGTGCCCCAAACTTGAAATCACGCCGATAAAGAAGAGTATACCGCGACGCCACTATGTACGCAGACATCAGCAAACCCCCAGCTCCCCTTCCCCAGTCCGAATTGCAGACGATTGGAAGCGGTATTTCAACACTGTCACCTCTTTCTCGCCGAGGGGTTGGGCCAGGACTCATTCTTCTTGTCCCTTCAGTCGACAATGCGCTAGCAATTGAGGAAGGCGTCCCCGCACTGCCCCTGAAATGGGCTGAGGAGGGGTACACGGTCATTGCCATTCAGCCAACAGCGTTCGAGAGCGGTGCACGCGAGACTCTAGATCTTGCCATCCAAACATTCCGCAACAGTGATAAATGCGACCCAAAAAACGTGGTAGGTCTTGTTGGTAAGTTGCAGTCTCCGTTACGGATTTTGTACATCGCTAAGTGAGATGCACCAGCATACGAGCCAGAAATGTGGAATACAGTTGCGCCGATTCTATCTGAATTCCCAGAGATCGTGAGTACCGTGGTGTACGCAGATACCTCAGAGAGGTCTTCGATCTCTAGTAGCATTTCACCCTCAGTCTATCACTTTGCTGGAAAATCCGAAGGGCAGCCCTTGCGGTCAAAGGGTCGAACAGAATACTTTTACCCAGCAGCCAAATCCTTCAAATTCGCGACACCGTTCCAGCCGCACTTCGACTACAACATGGATATGCTCTCATACACTCGCAACCTGACTTTGCTGAAAGGCGAAATGAAAAGCCCTATTTTCGACTTGGAGGCTATCTGGGACGAGCATACTTGGTACGAGTTCGCCGATAGATCTGTGGAGCACACAATGAGCACAATGGTGCAGGAACCATATGTCAATCACATCCCAACGGTAAGGGAAAAGCCGATCGTGCAAAACGAAACAAAAGAACACACTTTCTAACGTTTACTTATTCAGTTGACCGGTGGCGTTGGTCGCGGCAAGCTTACTGACTTTTATCGTCACAATTTCATCTTCAATAATTCAGCGGACACGGAATTGGAGCTTATTAGTCGGACCATTGGCATCGATCGTGTAGTCGATGAATTCATTTTCAAGTTCACACACGACCAGGAGCTTGACTGGCTGTAAGTATAAGCACTTTCGGTACTTGATGTAAGGACGTGCACTGACAAAGTGACTAGCTTGCCAGGCGTTCCGCCAACCAACAAGTACGCGGAAATCCCGTTTGCTGCGGTTGTCAACATCCGAGGTGATCGCCTGTATCACGAGCATATAAGCTGGGATCAAGGTACAGCCTTGGCTCAATTGGGCCTCCTTCCGGAGTACCTCCCTTTTCCAGGGGGTAATCTCCAGTACAAGGTTCCCGTTGCAGGCGTGGAGACAGCCATGAAGTTGAGAGCACGAAATTCTGTTCCGTCAAACGAGATGTTCAGGTTCACAACTCGCCCCGCAAACAGCGAAGGAGTGAATCCAGAGAAAGTGGTTCCGGCTGTAGCCGAAAACGGTGTGGCAACAGTTGCAAATTAACGGAGGATGATGCTTGTTGTAGGATTGGTCCAATGAGGTATTACCATTATGTGTAGTTGAAGTTTTATGGGCTTAATACCATACCCGATGTACCGTAATCCTCATGTTGAATACCTGCCTGCGACGCGAGACTAAGGTATACATGCTCATTTGTTGTTTGGGGTATCTAAATATGTGATAGGCTCACCCTTCTACCTTTTTGATCCATTGCCTTGTACCGTAGACAGAGAAACGCGGTGACCACATCTACGAAGGCTGGCAGTTCTTCATCCACAGCCCTTGAAAGCACGTATTTGATTCTCCTGCTTGTGCTTTAGGCTTGACGAAACCACAAGCCCGGCATTCCATTTTGCAATTCTTCCGCAACTTCAACAAGCAAGTATTCCTCCAAAGTCCCTTTCTCTCAACACGTGCCTGTTGAACTGCGGCATAATGGCATGCAAGCTCTGGATTAGAAGCTCTGGCATCTTTGACGAGTTGGATGATTTTCTCGATAAGTTCGTCGTATTCGTCATGCGATATCTTTGTGGTGAACTCTCTCTGGCGCACAGCTGCAACCAGGTATTGTACAAAGCGAATAAATTCGGGCCCCTGTTTAACAGTTCCTTGCGGCATGAGATTACCGTCAATGAGTTTCCTCCAGGTGAGATCCCAAGATCTGTCAAAAACGGATTCGTCGTCTCTTTTGCGGCGCTCCTTTTCCCACTCGGCTTTGCTCCATACCCCGCATGGCTTATTGCTGGGCACTGGAAGACTAAGGTCTTTGATGATACTGTCGGCCAAGTCGCTATATTTCAAGCGGAATTTGATCATGGAAGCAATGTCCATGCCGTCAGTTGAGGCCTTTTCCGACTCGATTGTGTCAAGGAGGGAGTCCTGAATGTAAGCGCCATGTCCGCTATACCAGTCTCCAGGCCAGAGTTCAACAAAAAGTCTGGACATTTCTACGACTCTTTCGCGGCATGAAGAGCATGTTGTCAAGGTCTGTTCGTCCTCGCGGCCGTTGAATGTGCAAGTGAAATGCAAGTGCACTTGGTCGCATTCAACTTCGACAAGTTCGTTCAGTCTCGCCACCGCCTCGTAGTATTCTGACACTAGCATCGTATCTTCACTAGACAAATCGATGAGGGAAAAGGCTTCGAGCATCATCTTGTATCTTCTTGGTGTGGTTTCTGTGTGAAGGAAGCTGACGTGTTCTGAATCTGATGGGCTTTCTCGAACCAAAGTTTGTACTACTTGGGGAGGTATGCAGACTTGGTACATATATGTGCCTTAGCTACTGAGCTTTCTCCGAAACTTGGCTCCCTTCTGGAGACCTTGACTTTGAGGCTACATCAACTTCTGCGGCCTAGGCCGTTGAGACTTTTGCTTAAATAATCAAATTGAGTCTGTCCTGGATTTGTGGAACCATGAACACCCTTTGACAGCGCTTGTGAACCTGTTTTTGATGCCATCCACTTTTGGATATGATGGTACCATGGATTGTTTGGTTTCTGCCGGAGTGACAATATTGCGTACTTATCTAATGCCATCTTTGGCGCAACGCCACTCCATCAGGGTTTCGTAGTTATCAGGGTCTAACGTCGCTTTCGTGAAGAGGACCTATCGGCTTCATGATACCCCAACGGCCGCGATAGCTTCCCCCCTACACTGGCGCGTGGTGATATCTGCCCCTCCCCCTCCCCCCACCGCATAATTGAATCCTGAATCTCTCCAATCTTCTCGCTTTCAAGTCATTGTTTCGAAAACTTCTTCAAACTCCCTTCGGGTTTCAATTGCAGATGTTTGGGACTTTTACTACCAATACGGCGATTTACCTCTCGTGTGTCTTATACCGGCGATCGAAGCGATCATATGCATCTGTAGCATGCCGACCTATTACGAAACTTCAGAGGAGCTACGCCCAGAGCTCGAGGCAATCCGGGACTCGATTGATGAAGCGCTGCGAGCATTTCAACCATCTTTCTCTCGCGCCAAAACCGCCGAAACCCTACGAACAGATGCAGCAAGAATCAAAACGAGCCTCGAAGAACTGCAAAGTCTTTGGAACGGTCGAGAAATGAACCAATATTGGATTGCAATATGGACCTTGGTCAAGAAGATCATCACCAAAAAGATAATTCTATCTGAGGAAAATGCCGAAAGAGCTTTGAATGAAATCACGGCAAGTACACCCCTCCGACCCCTTCCACACCTGAACTACCTGATCTCTACTCACCACAAGTTATGCTGAGGAATCCGTGGTTCTTCCAAAACATCCATGTCAAGGAGTACTTAGCTAACGCTGGTGTTCAAGCGTAAATATACACATCCTTACTCCAGACACAAGTTAGCATATGGCCTCAGTTCGAAGATCATGAAGAAGATCTCAAACGCATTGGTAGATTCCTGGGAGAATCCCGAGGATTTAACACATGTTGAGTTTTTCTACATACTCACCTGGATTTCCAATACCATTGGCAAGGAAAAGTCAGCATGGTTTGCGATCGAAGATGTCGAATGGTCCAACATGGTCACTTGCAGCTACATGGACATCAGAGAATATATTGCTCGACAACCTTTCAGTCTTCCTACTGCCATTACCCCTATGGATCGGCTAGCCCTATACTATATCGTTCCCGAGTCAAAAGATATCCTCCAACAAATCATCCCAAAACTAGTTGGTTTCATGGACCATGATATTTTCAAACAAGAAGATGTGGCTCGCGAGATCTACGATTTGGGTTTTCTTCCGGCGCCTATCTCCGCAAAGGACGTACCAGAAGCGGCCAGGCGCCGAGCCAAGATGACTGATCCGTATTTGAAGAAGGTTGTAGGATCAGCGATGATTCGGGGTTTGCTTCGAAGATGGATTGAAGCTGACCCCGATCCGGTCAGTATTCTTAAGCTGACCCAGGTCCGGGTGGAAGATCTTTGCAGCACGCTAGAAGATGAAGTTCTTTCATTAATGGACTAAGGAACATGTAAGAGAATCCAACGCTGCGTGTGGCTGGAAGCTGGACGCTCAGCTGTGACGGGCTCGAATAACTATTATTGTGTAAAAGTTGGGAAAGTTCACAGGCGAACAGCAGAAGAACAGTCCACAAAACTACGGACACAATCTTCGCGAGGGCAAAGGGGTTATACGGCTCAAATAGAAGCATCTGAAAGCCTAGTGAGGCTTCGCTGTTATCTGGAGCCTTTCACAACCGATGACCGTCAGGCTGGCCGCAGATAGCGCTGGGTCGAGTTGCTTCCCCAGTCAATAAGGCAACGATAGAAACGCATCAAGTACCCCTAATGGGTTAGTAATAGCGGTGATATGCTCATCATAAGTTTATTATACCATGCGGTTCATACGATCCATCTGGTCCATCTCGTAGCTCCCATTATGCCCTTCAACATCGCTCCTCGTATCATACTGCACAACGATCTCGTTTGTCCTGACGATCTTGCCAAACCCGGGTTCCGACTCGACCCCAAGTATGCTTTTATCGCTCCGATCATCGGCGAGCTTGTCCCATTTCCTCCTAATAGAACCCTTTCGTGTTGTCGAAGTTGTTACAGTTACTGTGTTGGTACGCGTGAGGCCTCCGCCGAATCGAGACCCATTGGTACGGGTGGCTGAGTTGCCGTAGTACTTGCGAGCAGTACTTGCAACGTCGCGGATGAGGACACGGAGAACAGGTATGGAGGCCGCCATGATCGTTACACCTGATTCCACGGTTCCCCAAATGACGAGGTCGCTACCGTCATCTTCAAGAGAAAGTCAGTCTAGTCTCTTGTATCGACGCCTCTCGGTACCTTGTTGCTTACATGTAAAGTCTCCAGAAAGCAGAGTAGGAATCGTCGTGCACTTGACAATCGAGGTCCCGCCAGCGCTAGTTGCCAAGTTAGATGAAGCAGTTTAACACACCCCAAAGGACTAGGCCTACAATAGTCCCATACTCATGGCAATGCCGACACCAATCTTCTCTTTCATCTTCATTTGAAGTCCCCATATTAACTTCCATGGGAGCATGGCGAGCAGTATGTCCATCAGAGCAGAATATCCTGTCAGGTGTTAGAAAAAGAATTTGTTTGAGCAACTGTTGTCAAGCCATACCTGCAGCAAATACCCCGTAGTAAGCTGCTACCTTGGGACTCCAGCACTTTCCTGGTGTTTGGGGAAGCCAGTACTTTTCGATCGGGGTACACTGCACCCAAGCAGCCATAGCGTTGAGGCCCATGAGGACGTTCATCGATATAATCGCACCCCATATCAAGTTTCTTGTCCACCCTTTCTCCTCGATTCGGAGTAAAGTCATCGCGAAGGATGTTTTGCTCCACACCGCCGATGTAATCGATATCGTACTGATGACATTGCCGTTCAAGCCGATCTGAGGGAAGTTTACTGGATTGATTTGGTACACATGTTTGCCGAAGCCGAGGGACACGTTCCACGTTGTTAATGCTGATGCAATCATCAAGGTGACCTAACACAATATTGTCGTCAGTAAGAGGGTCCTGACATATGGCGTAGAGACTGAACGAACCCAAGATGCTATGAGAACATGGTCGTCCCACCAGAGTCCACTGCGTTTCTTAAATTTGCAGTATAACCGTAGGCACAGAAAGAATAGCGACGCTCCAACCTGAGACCAGATAACCGCGTTGATCGTCTGGCCATAGTCCTCCGGCCGACCCATTTGACCGGCCAAAAGGGGTTACTTCCTTCGCCCAAGCGATGTTCGGATGTCGAAGAAGGCTCAAGACACAGACCAGCCGTTGCGCGTTTGATGACGTCGAGAAAAGGCAAAAAGAATATCAAAGAGCAGCCGCGCAACTCGCAGCGGGTATCACAAACTAAAGAGGCACAAGAAAGAAGCTGAGAAAGGAAAGGACATAAAACGCGCATCCACTCGGAGTGTGGGGGATGACAACTGAGATATGACATCGCAACACGTCCTCTCCACCCTCTCAGCCTAGTTCATTACCTACAGATAGCCAATGCACCCGGCACTACGGGGAAAGGGCTGGGCTCCCTGCGAGTATGCAGGTGCCGACGATCGACTTGTAAGGATGAGACGATGATCACGCAAAGGTGTTGGCGCGCTGTAGGGTTCTCCCTAGTTTCAGATGGTGAACCCGGGGCAGATTGATGGCCTTCTAGAAGAATGGAAGAAGATCTCGTCGTTGCGTCCAGTCTCGACAGCGCTGTTTGTGTCAGGAAAGCGGAGCCATCTAGCTGGGAGTGACAGATTCCGGACTACCACCATCGAACAATCGTAGCGTGGCATCATATCATTGTGCCCGTGTCCGCGTTGTGGGGGGATGAACGAGCCAAGCAAGAGCAATGACTCGAAGTCAAACTGATCTTGGCTGGGTTTTGAGCTCATGCTTTGCTGACAATTTGCCGCTTGACCGTATGCTGGGTAATTTCTGCGACTTGTCAGAGAGATTGCAAATACGATTCCTTCTGTCTCGTGATTCTTGATTGTGCCCGTTGAGATCGAAGAACATTATTCAGTGATGTGAGGTTGAGTTCGCCATGGGTCAAGGGGGCCCAGATTGAACAGCTCGCGCTCGGTTTTGAGCAGCCTGCACCTCGCGTCTCTGTTAAACTAACATTGCAAGGATCGATGAGTCGATAACCCTGCCTTAGCGTCGAAGTCAAAAAACTAAATTGCTTAGGTCGCATTCCGGTTCAGCTGGGAAAACAAGCGAGAATTGGAGATGTATTAGACGAGATGGCACGGCCAACGCCTATCCGCAGCAACGCTGCACAGGAGGAATCTCATCAACGGCTTTGTTTACCGGCACGGCAATTCGCGACAATTCCAAACACGAGCGGAGAGAGAAAATCTGCCGTCCGTCTCGTCCCTCTGGTTTTCTGACAGAATTCTCTCTGCCCTCATCCTACCTTCTTCAACGGGCAGTTCAAGATCTGTGCAAGGATGTGGCCCGAGTCAGGTAGGTAAGAAAGCGGCAAATCATCCGCGGCCCCGAGTCCGGGTCAGCTGGCAGGGCGCATGGCGGATGTCGTCTCAGATTGTCAATGCAGACAGGGGAAAACTCTGCTCATTGGGAGGCTCAGCAAATCGCCAAGGCGATGCACAACTGGCCCAATCGTGAGGTAGGGCTGGGCGTTGAACATGGTTCCCGGCTGATGCGTTTCGCCTGATGTATTTCGTCACCGAATCTATTTCAGGGTAAACGGGTGGGTTCCAGTTCTTCGGTATGGCCGTTCTTTTAAGTACAGGCAACTTGCTTGTGTGCTCGCATTTGATTTTGCATTCCGTTCCTGTGCCGTGAGTGACACTTACTGATTTAGAAGCGCTGGCCTAAACCATATTGCCATTAGACTCGGCGAAATCACTGCCAGAGAGAATAGTACCGCATACTGCAATCGGGCTTCAACTACAGACACGTTCCAATAAGGCAACAAGTAACGTAGGTGAACATGAGCGTTAGATGTTGAAGGCTGTCTGCTGATGCATGTCACTGGCTTATCCCATGTGGGTACCGGTAACTTGTTGCGTATCTAGAGAAGTAATTGTGGAAAGACTTTAAAGGAGTATCTTGACAGTGGAGTATCAACTAGACTTATGCAAGGAGGCAATGGCTGAAACAGCTCGCGGTTTCCATCGTTTCTTCACGCAGGTACGCTAGTTGGTAGCATCACTATCAATTTGGGTTCCGGTGTTGGGTTTGTGACTTCCCTTGGTCTGGATATGGGCAAGCATCCCGTGCTGAGCCATTCATTCTCTTATCGAGCATCGGTCGCTTTTGCAGCAAACATGATGGACTTAGCAGACTGAACATGGCATATTCACTCTCCATTCGTCTCCTTGTTGAATCGAGCATTTCTCATCCACCGAAACTCAAAGACGACAATAATACGAGATCATCTGTCACACCTTGAACCTTGACCATTGTTGTATTGGACACCCAAGACATACTCAAAGCACTCTCTTCAGTTCGATTACAAACCAACACTACTGTCAAGCAATTCGGAGATGCGAACACTCTGGCGTCTCGGCGACATCGAAATCTCTGGAATCAAATTCTTGCTCGTCAACTTGGTAGGTTTTGAGCTACTCCCGCGCATTTCATTTACATACAACATGTAAATTTAGAGACGACTTGAAAGCGCCAATACATAAGAATCAAATCCCCTTCGTCTCCTTGCACGCATTGACAGGCTTACGACATGAAGACCTTTGCAAAACGCTGTCGACATGGAGTTGATGGGCGTACTGTTCATAGTTCTAGATGGAATCCGATTAGCTAAGAGCCCCGAGTCCCCTTGGTATTCCACTTTGAGATTCGAGTATGAGATTAACGAGAAGATGATAGTGTCAAAACTCTATTGTAGCTCCAACATGACACTTATGAATGGACAATGTCGAGGTTTTGGCAGAGATATTCGATTACCTTGGCAGCGTTTCCCTTCTAATTGCCTCACTTCAGCCCTTACGATTGCCTGGAACCATTCCTGTTGACCTCATAAAAACCTTTTGTAGATTTACAGGCTCTCGATAGAAGTCATTAGTAAGGAACTCGTATAGTTCGTGCAATAGATTTGGATGAAGAAAGGGTTCCGTGAGCATTGTGTGAAAACGTCCTGCTTGCATGTAATAGTTGCGGTGCTCGTTACTAGTTCTAGAACTAATACGCTTCACCGGACCTCACCTATCCCTAAATATGTAGTGGAAACGTGTTAGATGTAGACATCGCAGTCATGACCTTCATAAGCCCGCAAGACTAATAGCACTGCAGATCACCTCGTCCATTAATAAACGTTCATTATAAAGCACTAGTATTCATGGTGACTTCAGATATGTCGCTAAACACATTTTCAGTGCCAAGAGAAAGAATATAAAGCCGGCATGAACCACAAGTCGAACGAAAACACGCCATGTCGC